TGTCACTAACAGAGTACAAGAGAAGGAAGAGAGAATCTCAGGCACCAAAGACAAAGTAAAAGGAATGGATAGTACAGTCAAAAAAAAAAAAGTAAATCTAAAAAGAAAAAGATCCAGGCAAAAACATCCAGAAAATCTAGGACACTGTGAAAATACCAAAACTATGAATAATAGGGATAGAGGAAGGAGAAGAAACCCAGGTCAAAGGCATGGGAAATATTTTCAACAAAATCATATAAGAAAATTTTCCACTCTAAAGAAGGAGGTGTCTATCAAGATACAAAAAGCATACAAATCACCAAATAGCCAGGACCAGAAAAGAAACTGCTCATGACACTTGATAACCAAAACACTAAAAATTCTGGAACATAGAGAGGCTATTAAAAGCTACAAGGGATAAAGACCAAGTAGCATATAAAATAAAACCAAAACAAGCTGTCACCAAGGCTCTTAGTTGTTCTCTGCAACCTGATGGTAAGGCCCTTTGCTGAAGACAACCCTTACCATGTATCATTAAAAACAGAGAAATTGAGCTAGTGCCTAACTAGAAGCTTCCCCCTATTGACAAGCATTCATGGTATTGGAAGATACCCCATGGGCTACTGGAGAAGAAAGCCAGTCATCAATACTGCCCAGCTACTAGCCCTGTGACCTATAACAGTGACCTTTCTGCAAGATATACTGGTACAGGTGGCACAAATTTTATGGAGTAACCAACTACCGCTAAAACCAACATTGCTAAAGTGGCCAAGAACCTAAGACTAGATAGGTCACTTTCCTTGGGAAAACTTTTTACTAAGATTTGCTAAAGGAAGATAGCTATGAAATGACTCCTGATGACATGTTGCTAAACCCACAGATCACTCAACCCACAGCAGAGAAGTTTCATTTTGCAGCAGAGGGAATCAGCACTGAGACTCACAACTGGACAGTGTGCAGAGAGTGAAAGGCTTTGGAGTACTTTGTCCCGAATAATATTTTCCTCAAATTCCTCCCTTCTGGTCTAAGGGAACTATGTGGAAGAATATGTAGAAAGACTGTAAAAGCCAAAATTGATGCATGACTCCAAGACAAAATTGTTTTCCCGACACAACAGGACTGAACACATAGGAAGTCATGCCAACTGTGGAAGCATACACAGGACCTGCATGGGTTGAAGCTGCACCTGGGTCCCAGCAATGAGAAGGGGAAACAGACATGGGAGTCCCACCTCTAACCAGGAAACTGTTTGAGACTGATACCCACTGGCAAAGGGAAAATCAGTTTTGTCCAATGGAGTCTCGCTGGGTATATGAACCATACTCCAGGGCAGGCCCATGCCCAGGAGCAATTGCCCAACAAAACAACAAATTCAGTGGTATTTTTATGAGCTTTTGTCTCATTTACTTTGTTTGGACATTTTTTTTGTCTTATTGATCTTTGCTTATTTTGATTTTTAAATTTTTTTAAAATTTTACTTATTTTTATTCTATGCACATTGGTGTTTTGCCATGGGTGTTGGGTCCGCTAGAACTAGAGTTACAGACAGTTGTGAGCTGCCATGTGGGTTGGGAATTGAATCCATGTATTTCTGAAAGAGCACTGCTACTTAATTGCTGAGCCATTCCTCCAGTCTCAAAAGAATATTTTGGTCCAGGAATGATTTTTTAAATTCTTATTTATTTATTTATTATTTATTTATTTGGTTTTTCAAGACACGGTTTCTCTGTGGCTTTTGGAGGCTGTCCTGGAACTACCTCTTGTAGACCAGGCTTGTCTTCAACTCACAGAGATCCACCTGCCTCTGCCTCCCGAGTGCTGGGATTAAAGTTGTGTGCCACCAATGCCCGGCTTTAAATTCTTTTTTAAAGATGTATTTGTTTACTTTATGTGTATAGGTGCTCTCTATCTGTATGCATGTCTTTATGTCAGAAGAGGTCATCAGATCCCACTATAGAAGTTGTGAGCCACCATGTGGGTGCTGGGGATTGAGCTCAAGGCCTCTGGAAGAGCAGCCAGTGCTCTTAACCACTGAGCTTTTCTCCAGCCTCTCGCTTTGACTTTTTTTGGAGAACATAAATTTGGCTTGGTAGGATTTGAGATGAATTGGGGGAGGGGAAAGTATGATTGAAATTTTCTCAATAAAAAGTAGACAAACCTGCGTACTTTTGTATTCAGTGAAAAAGAGGGCTTTCAGAGCTCACCAAGAAGGGCTGGAGATAGCTGGGCTGGCACGATGCATGAATACACACAAAGTCAGCAGGAAAACAAGTTAGCACAGTTTAAAGATCTGAACACACTTTACCCAGTTTTCATGGCTGGGCAAGCACATGAAAATACACTAAGTCCCAGCCTGCAAGTTAGAGCATGCTCGGACACTGCATGTTGATTAGAGTGGCTAATATAAAACAAATACCCAAAAGGATGATAATGTAAGTGCTAAGGAAAATGTGCTGCATCCCAGGAAATAGTTTGAGGTCTCTTAGAAAGTAGAAAATAATTTGTCATGTGACCTCACCGTCTCACTCCTGGTGCTTACCCAAGAGAAATGGAATCCCATTCCATGTCCACAACAGCTTTTAGAGATAGACAATTATTGGTAATTGTCTCCAACAGAAAAGAACTTTAAATATCAGTGAGTAAAATGTCTAGCCACATAGAGGCTTATTGCCATCAGTAAAGAGGATTGGATGGGTTGCAGCAACACTGCGTGGGAAGAAGTCCGACTCAAATGGCTACCACCTATACAATTCCATAGCAAAACTGCAGGAACAGAGGGCAGAGGGTTGTCAGTGGCATGGGGCAGGTGGGGTGCATGGATACAGAACATCCCAGGTCTTGTTTGTGATGCTGCTAATCACACAGTTCATTTTGTCAGAACTCATAAAACTATAAATAAAAAGGAGGAGCTTCATTTTCATATAACACACTCTATAGTTAATGTTAAAAATGTTTATTTTCCACAAATGTAGTAAAGAAAAGCCTTAAATATAAATTTTCACAACTCTTTAGTCATTGAAATAGACACGAAAACCAGTAAAAAAAAATAAATCTGTGTCACTCCTCTGTCCATGAAGGTGGCCTTCAAGAACCTTTTGATATCTCTGGGTAGGAAAAATGATGTTACACTATCATTATTGGCTCTGTATGGGGAAAACTGGAAGTACAAAGGAGAAGTAGGTGCAGAGAGATAATGGTCATGGTGGATGTGGGGTTTTAGCTCTGCATCCTGCTTTGTGGAGTTTATTTAATACATTCCATACCAAAAGGTTTAATGGTTTTGCTAAATTTAGTAACATCTCTCTTTGGAAGGATATTAACAAGATCACTGCATCCCCCAGCACTGTGGTTATTTCTGCAGTTCTTTATGCCAGTGAAAGAGCCCCATAAATTACAGAGTCATTCTCTACTTTTGCATTAAAAATCACAGTCATCTGCTATGACCCCAGTGGAACTGCAATCGGGAAAAAGAGACCAGTGACAGATAGGCTTTCTGTTCAGCTGGGTATTGATGGCTGTGCAGCCACCATTGTTAACATGCTTATAACCTACCAGATTACAAAACTACTTCTCATTTGCTTTACCTTTGCTCCAGTATCTGAGAACCAGTGCCCATGATAAACCCACCCCAGTGGCCACTTTCACTCTACTGTTTCTTTACAAAAGGGCCCATCCCATGCCAAAAAAAAAAAAAAAAATCTGTAGGATAATTAATTTTCTTACAACCATGTTATAGAAAATTTAATTTGCAATTCATTTTGTGTGCATATATGAGATGTGTGCAGTTGCCTGTGGAGGCCAGAGGGGGACATGGGATCCCCTGGAGCTGGAGTTACAAGTAGTTGCTAGCCACTCAGAATGCACTGGATATTGAACTCAAACTCTTAGTCTTCTTAACTGAAAATCACCTCTCTAGATCTCCTGATTTGTAATGTAAATGCAACACACACACACACACACACACACACACACACACACACACACACACACGCTTGTTTTTTTTTACTTCCTTAAGGCTGAATTACTCAAGCACAAATACTTTGGAAGGAAAGAGGGCCTACTGCCTAAGCACATTCCCAACATTGTTATGTAGAAAGAGAAAGACAGTATGCAAATTAACATGTCAACTTTACTCATTCTTTCTTAAATTTCCCTGGCACCTTGCTTTTTTCTTTGGCCCCATGTCCTGTTCACTTTCTCCATCTTTTCCAGACAGCTAATCCATTAAAAATAAGAATGCCACACCACAAAAGCTAGGATTTTTTGAGATTAGTGGCCAAGTACCTGCTATTCTGGCAAAACAAAAACAAAAACAAAAACAAACAAGAAACAAACAAAACTTAGTTCTCCTGGATCTACACAACCTGACAACCTTGGTTGTTGTTGTTGGGCGGGGGAAGGGGGTAGGGTCTCCCTTCTTTTGAGAAAAACTGAGACACAGAATTTTTCCACAAAATAAAAGACACTCTACTCTTGCACGTCACTGAGCAGCCTCACACATCTGGCCTTTTCCTGAAAGTGTTTGGAGGACACTAGCAAAAGTCATCACCAGACCACTGTAGGACGGAGTGCAAAATAGTGTAAAGGAGATAGCACCTTCAGAATTGTCAAGAAACCCCTTAAATAGTCAAGATAGAAAGAGAGAGGAGACAATATCAAGAAGCACAGGACAAAAGCAAGTGAAATATAAATATGGGGAGTGGGGGTGGGGTACAGACCTCAAAAAGGCAGGACACCAACGTTGCAAAAAAGGCCAAACTTAATGACAACACCGGGTGGCGGTAGGCAGAGGAGAGAGCACAGGAGGAAGAAGTGACAGGTGGGTTCCACCACCATGGCCACAGCCTACCCCTGTGAGGAGGTGCTCAGTGTCTCTTTAGGGAAAGTCACTGGTGCCCTGCTCTCAGGGCAAGCAGAGAACGCGGGGGTCATTCTACACATTGTCCG